TACATATACAATAGCGCACCGTCTTTCGGATGAGACATTTAAGCCGTTGGTCCCGTGTGCATTTATGGCCCATGTGCACGTTAAAGAACGCAGTACACTCTTCGGAAAAGAGTAGGGGATTGTCTCCCGGTGTACTGCCCAATCACCACAAGTACCCCACTGGAAATAACTCTTCTTCTGAACTTTCGTGGGCCATCCATGGTGTTTACACCGAATAAATTCATACGGGTCACCTATCCTCTTATAATTGGTTGGTTGGTTTTCTTTGGTGTGTGAAACAAAACCAACCAACCTCTTATAATTGGTTGGTTGGTTTTCGTTGGTGTGTGAAACAAACCCATATAAAAGTATAGAGACATATTTCGGGTATTGTCTCTTCGCTGTCAAGGACAATTCGTGTCTTATAAGATAACACTTAAACCACGCCGCACTGCACAGGTGTGCTAAGAGGTTATTGAGGTACTCTTTAAAAGATGTTTAGAGGACTAGAAAAACCATTGTTTCCCATTGTTCACCATATCATCCATTAAAATAATTCTCGAATGTTCTTTTATCTAATAGAGGAGCAGTCGAGGTTTAATGCAATTGACTACAGTTTTTGTCAAGCTGGAATAAGTGCCGTTTACCGCAAAGGCTCAACAACATTGTTACTGGGAGCTGTCGGTTACAGATCCTGGCAAGGTACCATCAACCATCAACCAAATACAACACCATTATATACGTTCAAAATATTACACTAAAATTATATTAGATCTACCAGGGAGTTGCTATTACCGACAGCTGATCTGCAGTACATTTAGAGAGGTCAATCAAATGTTTGAAATTGAGTTCTATCAACCATGTTCAGCCCATAGGTTTATATTATGTTATGCCTATATTAACAATTTGAAAAAATATGTTACGTTTATATAAATTTCATACCCTATCTTCTGATTGGTGTTTAAGTTGTTTGCAAAATCTCTCGCACCAAAATTATTGCGCTGGTTTGATGAATATTGGTTTCTTGAAGGTACTGTTATTTCGATGAAAGGAGGAATGACAAGATTTGCCGATACTAATAGATGGAGTTTTCCAACAGACCGGCAGAAAGGTTACATAGGTGAATCCACTATTTTTGTAAACGTTTAAAGACTGTTTGTTTTAAAATTTGGGAAGCCTTCAGAAATTGTGCAAAAAAACCAAAAAAAAAACAAAAAAGAAGAAGAAAAAAAATACAATTTCTAAAGGATTCTCTGTCCCTTTATTTTGTTTTTATATTTTTCTTCAACAGGATTTTCAGTTGCGTCTGGTTATTTATTCTCAACAATTGCTACAGTCGGCATAACCGGCGCACCACATAAACGTCACAGAGGTCACGTGATCATCTTTAATCAAGACAACTTTGATTTACTGAAGGAGATACCGGGATCAGGGGTAAATATAATCACATGCTCATCATTGAAGATAAAATGTCTTTGATTTGCACAACATTTGAATGTACTGCTTTCTATATTTTATATCAAGTTATTAGCTTTGAATTTACAATCAAAACGAGATAATAATTAATAGGATTTAAATCGACTGGTTTATTTATTTGTTCAAGCAGGTTTGAACTGTAGTAAAAAGTTTGTAAATTTATTGATTTTAAACATATTTAAACTGGATTACAATATTTAATGTCAACTGAGCACCATGAAAGAGGCATATTTATGGGGGATTTTTCGAATTATACGACATACCCATATTTGGTTTAAGCTTCAAAAGTTCAAATAATGATTGGCAATTATTATAACGTTTGTTAATTTTCCTCATTTTCACAGTTCCTTTCTTTCTTTGGAGCTGTTGTTGCTGCCATCGATCTCAATGGCGATGGTATAGATGAACTCTTGGTGGGCGCGCCCAGGTTCAGGGACGTCAAAAACGAAGGCAATGTGTTCATTTACAGCTTCAACGAAGATGTAAGATGATAACAATATAATGTATTAATGCTATCATCCTTCATAATTATCATTGTTATCCTTTTTTAATAATGTAGTATTATCATAATCTTTGATTAATATTGGTGCCATTATAAACAGTACGGTATTTACAATTCCTCTACATAATTACTGCAATCATTGCTATTCTACAGTACTATCATCATGTCTGGTCATCATTTTGACAGTTGGTGAACAGATATGATGGTGTGTGATTTTCGTTTATCTCTTTCATGTTATTTCTCTATATTACATGACATTATTATTACCATTATAACACACGCCATGATATTACGTAGGCCCATTATATATTATGTGCAATATTATTGCCAAGGTTATATTAAAACTGTGGCGTCAGACAAGTTAAAAAGATTCAAACCCTACTAGCTCTTGGATTTACCATAATGTCTTCGTGGTTAATAGGTTATGACGTTCTCCGTGTATACCAAGGTTCCAGTTTTGAGTTCTGGTGGAGGCTGATTGGTTTTGCTTTGTCAGACTTCCTCTTGTTACTTCAATAATGATTTATTCATTGCAATATTCAGTTTTCTGTTTCCTTTCTATATAGTCATATATATATATAGGCCCTATGTGTGTGTGTGACATGGGGTGAGTGA